AAGGGAGGGCGGACAAGGGGAAAAAATGACAACCAAGACCTGTCATGTAAAGGTACAGGATCCTATTGGTGAATGTAACTGTACTGTATAACTAAAATGTACCAATAAACTCAATGAGAGAAAAAAAATGTAAAACCCTGAATCACATACACATCTGGGAGTTATTTAACTCTTTGTACTATTCCCTCCCAGGGTATAAAATAGGAAAATAGGGCCAGAGATTTAGCTCAGTGGTGCCACTGCCTGCCACACAAGTGCAAGGGCCTGAGTTCAATCACCAGTACCAAAAAAAAAAAAAAAAAAAAAAAAAAAAAAAAAAATGGGACAAAAAAGAAAGAAAAGAAAATATGTGAGCTTTGGACTCATAGAAAAAAAGGAGCTAAATTTTGCTCTGGCAAGTTATTGGTTATTTGACCTTGGGCAAGTTTCTTAACTTATCTTTCCCTTTTCCAACTATCCGTTCATTTATATATAAATTTGTTCTTTTTTTGGGGGGGTACCAGGGATCGAACTCGGGTCCTTGCGCTTGCAAGGCAGGCCACCAAACCACGGAGATAAATCCCTGGCCCCCATTAATGTATACATTTGTTCTTTATCTTACATGTTCCACAAATGTATATTGGATCCCTTCTTCCCTGTGCCAGGTAGTTTCGTCATTCATTCATAATAACTGTATTTATTGTGTGACTTTTAACAAACACTGTACACGAGTCACTCATCATCTAGCAATCCCGTAACTTGATTATGAATAAGCCCATAGAAAAAGTGGTCTCACTCTGCTGTGGCAATTGTCATAGAGTAGCCATACAGGTTATGGACATCATACTGTTGGCCCCAGTGCTGCACTGCATCCATGCATAGACTCTTGGAGAACAGGTACCCATCTAGAACTCCTGAAGCAAAAGGACAAATCAGTGAGTGAGAACCTTAGATGTGCATTTCCTATTCCTTGACTGTCATAGAATCTGCAAAGGTGGCTCCCAGGCAGGCACATTTTGTGGCCATCCCATGAGCAATCTTCCTGCTTTCTCACTAACAGAACACTGTTTTTTAAAACAGTTTCTTTAATACATAAATAAAGTGTGCCAATTCACACACACTCCCACTTGGGCTCACATATGACCAGACCCTGGCAACCAGAAGCAAGAGAATTCAGTTAGTCTGGGGGTCCAATCTGAATTCCTTAAGCCAAGTTAAGTCATCCAAGAATAGAAGTATTGGATGAAAGTGTACATTAATTGCTGACTCCTTCTTTCCATTGATCATATAACAAAGAATAATTTATACTCTTGCTTTCATTCATCTATTCTCTGCTCCCAATGCACCTCTGGTTCAGATCCAAATTACTTTTGGGTCTTAATTATTATTGCCATAGCTTCTTAATGACTTATTTACTTCTGATCTCTCTTACCTTCCAATTCATACTGCACATTAATGCCAGGCTGATACTCTTAAAATATTTGACTATCATACTTTCCTCTAACTAAAACATAAATAGCTTTTGTCACAGAAAGAATGAAGTGTAAATTCTTTAGTCTCCCACTCAAACCCATAAGTATTTGATTCTGCCCTATCCTGCTCCAGTTCCCTAGTTTCCCAGTGGACTGAAGTCACCATAAGGTGTTATAATTCTGGTAGCTTTTTTCCTTTCTCTATTGAGATACAGTTTGTTCTGGAAACTGTAACTTTCTTCAAACTACAACCAGTATAGTAAGACTACACCCTGAGAGATAATGTTGTTCAAAGTTCAGTCAAATCTTAGGAGCAACACACTATCTGACCTCTAAGGCCATAGGTTCTGGTTTCCTTTATCTGCATAGCCCATATCTGTCCTTCAAACTGTGGACATCATCAGATTTAGCCCTCATTTGAACACCAAGAACTCTCTCTTCTAAGTCCTGGCCTATAAGGGTGCATACTTAAGAGTGGCACAAAATAACCGCTGGCCTCTGGCTTCTTGTAACCTATGTCCTCTCTAGACCTTCCATGGGAAATACTTTTCACTGAAGCCAAAAGACTAGATTGACCATTTTGCATTGATGCCTCTTTAGGAAAGCATAGGGTGTTTTCATTTTCTTTCCTAGTTTTCTTTATATATTATTCACTTTTCTCTTTCCTTGTGAATCTCTTGAAAGATTGTTCAGATATATCCCTATGAATTTAAGATACCAAATATGCATTAGCACTTTAATTAAGCTGACCAGGAATACTTACGGGGAGTGAATGGTGGATAATTGAGATTGTTTCTGGAACATCCTGAGATTGAACCATCAACAAAGTTGGCAACTTCATTCATATCCTACAGGACAAAGAGCAAAATGGTTAAGAAAAATAAGATGTTCCAGGATGTTATACCGATGATGTCCTTTTTTTAGGAATCACAGAAATTACTTCAGATATGTCTTGCTTACAGATGATACTGTGTACATGAAATAAAATAGACATTCCTGTTCTATCTACCCACTGAAGACTTCATGGAGAAAGTTTTTAGAATCCCTTTAAAATTATGAATATCACTAAACATAAACAGTTTCCAAATATATTAGGCAAAAAATCAATGTACATTATGCCACATATATCAACTTATAATCTCTATATATCCAAATATAACTAAAAATTTATATATATATATATATATATATATATAGAGAGAGAGAGAGAGAGAGAGAGAGAGAGAGGGAGAGAGAGAGAGAGAGACATATATAAATGTATAACCCTATCAAGAGAGGGATGGTGAAAGCATGTGCCAAAGCTGTGAAAATGTAAGGTCTAGAAAGATCCTTTAACAGTTGATATGTTTTGTTACTGTCATTTATAGGAGTCTTGCTTTCATTTTTTAGCTGTCTGTATGTTTGAATTTTCTTCAGTATTCTTATAAATTGAGAAAGTTCAACTATCTAGAGCTACCTAAATTTTCCTCAACATCAGCTGGATCGCATTTGTTTTCATTTGAAAACAAATAAACATTATATGAGCCATCTCTTCTTAGAACAGACACAGGTTTTGCATGCATCTGGATTCTTTGGCTCTGATACATTTGTCCAACACATCCAAACAAAAGAGCCTTGAATGGGCAATTAGCAACTCATGTACTTTATGAGAATATATTGGGTATATGAGATACTTTGACATCCGCTCATTGTGAAAAATATTCCTGAGTTCCCCCCAGCTCTAACATGATTTTGATTCTAGGCTTCATGTTTTGGCAGGGTTATTTGAATAAGGATCACTAGTAATTTCTGTCATGTTTGCTTTATTCTTGACCTCTTCATGCTCCATGACTCAAAACCATATCCATGGAGATAGACTAGACATAGATATAGACATGGACGTACTGTTTGAGTGTCAGCTAAGAAAGTGTTAAGAACTCACAATCCAGATTCCATCAAACTCCACTTGCTTGTAGAAAAGCTCAAATTCCTTTGTCCACCAAACAGCACAGTTGGGATTGGTATAATCAGGAAACACAGTTTTTCCAGGCCAGACCTGAAGAAGGAAAAAGGGAAACACCAGTAAGAGTAAATTAAATGAATGCAGAATAAAGAACTATGCATAGAAATCACTAATTTATTCATTGAGACAGAGATGGCCAGGATTGCATGAAATTTGAGTCCTGTTGAGTTAAGAAGATAAATCGCTCAAGATATGAAATACTCAAAATAAGTAGGAGGCAACATCAGAAAGATACTTAAAGAAAACATTTTTGCTTCTGTGTTTTCTTTGGTTTTTGTGTTGTTGTTGTTGTTGTTGTTGTTGTTGTTCACTATATCCTCAGCCATGGCCACCACCACCACCTTACATTATTTTTTTTAATTTTGAGACAGGGTCTTGCTAAATTGCTAAACTGCCCAGTTACCCAAGCTGTACTTAAATTTGTAATCCTCCTGCTTCAGCCTGCCAGACGGCTGGCATTATAGACATGTACCACCACACCCACATTAAAATTTTATTTTTAAAAATGGTTAAGTCCTTATTAAATAAATCCATGGATAAAAGCCTTATCTGATTTACTAATCTTCAACTCTAGTTTATCTTCCTTAACACTTTCTCTAGTCTCAATACTAGAAATAGTAAGTGGGAAAACACTCTGTAATTTTCAATGAGTCCATTATAATCTGTGAATTCTAACATCATTTGCTTTTCTCTCTATTCCTTTCCTACCCAACTCCTCAGACACCAACTCCAAAAGAGTCATCAGAGATATTAGAAGTGAGCCAATAAGGTCAAATAAGACTTGAGAAATAAGTGGTCAAATTTATCAAACATTGCTGAAAAGCTGATTAAGAAAGAGCCATGAAACATTCCACTGGATTTACCAAGTAGAAGATAACTAGTGCCATTTACCAGAGTAGTGTCAGTAAAGCTAGGGGGAAGAACAGAGATGCAGTCAGCAGGAGAAAGGACAAGAGGTGTGAGATGTACACTCAATGTGTCAGCTCTTGTTTAATGGAAACTGGTTGTGAAGGGCATGGAAGAGGATCTAAAGGATTCATGTGAAGGGTGGTTGGTAGACATTTGCGAATGAAAGAGCAAAGCAAAATTTATTTTCAACATACACAATGCATCTGAAAATGGAAAAGACAATCACACACACACAAACACACACACACACACACACACACACACACACACCACAGAGTCACAGCTCCCTAATTAAGTTACCTCCCCAATGAGTGGATTCACTCCATCTGAATTATTCACCCATATCTTCATTGCTGAACCCCGGTCATATGGACCATAGGGATTACTTGAGGAAGAGTTGTTGGAGATGGCTGGATCCTAAAAAGGGGAAAACACAATGAATAAACTAGCTTTAGGCCGGGGAATTAGCTCAGTGGTTCGGCGGCCTGCCTCACAAGTGCAAGGACCCGAGTTTAATCCCTGGTACCAAAAAGAAAAAAAAAAGAAAAGAAAGAAAGAAACTAGCTTTAAATTGGAGGCACTGAAAGGAGACTGGGAACTTTAGGACCCAAGAAAGGGGTATGTGTGCTGAGACAAAAAACAGTAACTACTTGATTTGAGGAAAAAAAGAGTGTAATACATACCATAATGATGACAAGTTTCTGTCCATTATTGTGTAACTCCTTAACAAAATCAGGGAAACCTCTATAGTTCACTGGGTCATAAGTGAAGTCCTTCCTCTTATCCATATAATCAATATCACCATGTTGAACATCCTGGAGGAATACACAACACCAACAATTTAGTACCATGACTGTGCCTATTAAAATGAGCCAACCTAATTATCAGTGATTACTGAAAATATACTCAACTCTGGGCTAGGGTCAAGCAGTTCTTAATCAGTCCCTTAATCATTCCCTTAAACAGCCTTAATCAGTTCTTAATCAGATGTGTCTAAAAGCTTCTTTTTCCAGGAAAATTACAAAAACAAATGGCCCACTGTTTCTCTAAGGCCTGGCCCCACCCCTGCAATCAAGTTAATTGTATCATTCAGGACAATCACTGAAGTTATCAAGTAAATTTCATACAATCCACAAGCTAAAAGGATGAAGTGTCTCTCTTACCATTTCTCTCTCACTTTACTACCCCATAATTTGTTTTGTTATCTCTCTTCTACTTCAACACTTTGGTGTTTATACCTTGCTAATTTTATTTGTGGAGACAGAATGAAACTTAATCTAAGGCCCAGGTGACTATCTCCAAGGGAATGGGTTGGAGAGAAAAGGGTTACTCCAGAAACTTTACCCTTTGCTTCTCTTCTGACACTTCACTATCCTTTACAGCTCTCACTATAATAGGCACATTCAAATTTTGCCACTCAAAGCATAGAAATGTGATGTAAAAAATATGCTGAGTGTTTAAATTTTTTAAAAATTATTATAATAAAAGACATGTTTACCACATGAATATTTGTATATTCGTATGGAAAGAAATAATGGCTTCCAATCTTATTTAAAATTTCAGTGTAAGACTAAGAAATCTCAAAGTTGTTTGAAGATATTTTATAGAATACCAACTGCTCTGTATTTATTTACAGAAAGTTTATAGTTGCTAGTATTGATGGTTATAGACATATCATTTTTAAGTTTTAATGAGTCCCTGTACTGTAGATTCATGACATTTAATTAATATTGACTAGTTTAGAGGTTTCTTTTCTCACCATGTGTAATACTGTAAATAAATTAGATGCAAACTACTACAACTAGAAAATAAAATATAAACCAGCTTTGAACAATGTATACAATTGGTTCTTTTCAAACTGTTTATAACATATTTAACTAAACTTTTGTCATGATGATTTTCTGGAAACTTTATTTTTTTTAAATAAGAAAAGATATGCATTTTCTTCTCATTGAATTTATTGGTACATTTTAGGTATACAGTACAGTTAACATTCATCACTGGGATCTTGTACCTTTACATGACAGATTTTTGTTCTCATTTTTTCCCCATACCCCTGCCCTCCCTTCACCCCCTCCTCCTTTCCCTATTTACAAAAACTGTATTTCCATTTTTTCATTTTCTCGTATTTTTTTCTTTTCCCTATTCCTTTTCCTCACCCTTCCCACTTCCCCTACACCTTTAGCCCTTTTCTTCCTATTACATATTGTCATTTATACCATTAGGATCTTAATTACAATTATAGTTTTTTACACCAGAGAAACTATTCAGTATTTACGTGTGACTTATTTATTTCACTTGAGTATAAGCTCAATATGTATGCCTTTTCCTATGAATAACTCTAATTTCTCATTTTTTATGGCTGAGTAATATTCCATTTTATAGAAAAATATATTAGCCACAGCAATTAGACATGAGAAAGAAATTAAAGCAATAAAGATAGGAAAGGAAGAAGTTAAACTGTCATTATTTGCCGACGATACGATACTCTACAATGAAGACCCAAAAACTTCCACCAAAAGACTTCTAGATTTAATTGACATTTCAGCAGAGTAGCTGGATACAATGTCTACACTCAAAAATAAATAGCCTTCTTGCACACAAAAAACAGACTCGCTGAGAGAGAAATTAGGGAAACAATTCCTTTCACAATAGCATCCCAAAAAATGAAGCATCTACGAATCAATCTAACGAAAGAAGCAAAAGACCTCTACACTGAAAACTATAGCACTCTGAAAAAAAAGAGATCAAAGAGGATATAAGAAAATAGGAAGATATCCCCTGCTCCTGGGTAGGAAAAATTAACATAGTGAAAATGGCCTTACTACCAAAATTGCTATACAGATCCAATGCAATGCTGATTGAAATTCCAACAGTATATTTCACAGAACTAGAAAAAATAATCCAAAAATTCATTATACTACAAAGCCACTGTGATAAAAACAGCATGGCACTAGCAAAGAAACACGCCTGAGGATCAGTGGAATAGATTGGAAGATACAGAAACAACTCCAGATGTACTCAGCTACCTCCTCTTTGACAAAGGAGCCAACCATCCTCATTGACAGAAAGATAACCTCTTTAATAAATGGTGTTGGAAAAACTGGATTTCAAGCTGCCAAAGATTAAAACTAGGCCCTTATCTTTCACCATGCACTAAACTAAAATCCAAGTGAATTAAAGATCTAAATATTTAAAAAGAGACAATAAATTTGCTGGAAGTTAAGTTAGGCAGAACTCTTGAAGACATTGGCATAGGAAAAGACTTTATGAACAAATCCTCAGTAGCATGCGAACTAGCACAAAGAATCAACAACTGGGATCTCATCTTATTAAAAAGCTTCTGCACTGCAAAAGAAACCATCAACAGAACTAAGAGACAACCTACAATGTGGGAAAAATATTTTACCAGCTATTTCTCAGACAAAGGATTATTATCTAGAATACAAAGAACTCAAAAAAATCAGGCCCCCCAAATACAAAGACCCATTTCAAAAATGGGCATCTAAAACAAACAGACATTTCTCAGACAAAGAAGTAAAAGCATCAAATAAATATATGAAAAAATGTTCCACATCACTAGTGTTTCAAGAGATGCAGATGAAAACAACACTAAGATTCCACCTCACCCCACAAAGAATGGCTGCTATCAAGAAATCAACCAATAATAAATGTTGGTGGGGTTGTGGGGAGAAAGGAATACTTCTCCATTGTTGGTGGGAGTACAGACTGGTGCAACCACTGTGGATATCAATATGGAGATACCTCAAAGAGCTTGGACTGGAGGTTCCATTTGACCCAGCTATTCCTCTGCTGGGTATCTTTCCAAAAGAATTAAAAGAATCATACTTTTTTATCTTTAAAAAAAAGACATACTGCCATTAATCCCTTTCAAAATATCCCCTCACTTTGAAGAGAACACACTTAGCCCTTTGTTCTTGGCATTTCCTAACAAGTTCTGGAAGTCTTTTTCACGGCTTTAATTGCGCTGTCATGGCTGCTTCAATGTCCTGAATCAATTCAAAACTTGTACTTTTCATGATCATCTTGACTTTTGGGAAGTTGAAGAAGTCACATGGTGTCATAATTGGTAAATAAAGTGGATGAGGACACACCATAATGTTTTTATAAGCTTGTCTTTATGTTGGATGGCACTCAGCAGCAGCATTTACCATCATTTTAATCACACCTTGTAAAGACATTCAGAAAAGAGAACTTCCAGAACTGCTTCAGAAATTGGCAAAAATGATGGGGTACATGTGTTAGAAGTGAAGGGGGTATTTTGAGGGAGAATAAGGGAAATATGTCCTTTACTGTAATATTTTTTAATTTACTTACTGTATTTTGATCACTCCTTGTATCTTATAAGTATGTGTATACACTGTATATATTTCTGTTCACTTAATCTTGGCAGAATTCAACACCTATACTCAGTTAATAGTTTTCAGTTCTAGGTCTCAGTGCTCCTTTTCACATCTCACTCCCTTGTGCACCAGAAAGAGTCCAGTGCTTCAATTCCCTGGGTCATTTAAGGATATGTAAGAAGAATGACATGAAAAGTAGAGAGGCACTGTGATGTTAGAGATCTGAGCTTGAAAACCAGTTCCTTTGATTTTCTAATATTAAATACGACTTGTAATCTTAAATGGGATTCTAATACTAGAATAGGAGTTTTGAGATAAGTAAAAACAGTATTGACATCACACTTGCCACAGTGTTCACTACATGGTAGCTCTCACTGGTACAGCAATTGTGTTTATTTATTTCCTTTACCTCAATTCTGTTTCTCCAACTTCATCTGACATCCCTGCACCCCCATGCCCACCCCTAAATATATAAAGCTGATGAGGGCTGTGCCCTACTTGAAGCTCAGAGCACTAGCTTTCAGGCATGGCTTGCTCTCAGTGACTCCATCTTATAATGTAGTAGTTTGTCATGAGTTACTCCCTATTGTGTGCAAGTGCTAAAACATCTCTGTGCAAACAAATAATCAAGAGATGTTAGATACACCAAATTTATTAAAAAGAACAACCTCTAGCTGCACAGCACAGTCACAAGTCATAAACTGATAGAAAAATCAAACATGCTAATAAAAATTATCATCTGAGCATTTATTGAATTAAATCGGGGCACATGAGCACCTTATATATCAAAGCCATATTACAGAAAACTAGACCCCTGAGCCTGTCAGACACACCAGACCAACAAATAATGCAACCTTTCACCTAAGTCATATAAAAGGAGAAGCACACAAAACAAGGTATGGACACATACACCAGGACCCTTCATCTTATCTAACCACAGGATGAATGCAACACAAGATCAAACTCCAGATCTTTGTCCCCTGGCTTCACCTCAGCTCCATCTCCCTCTTAGATGTGGCTCATTCCAAACTGCCTGCTGCCCAGACTTAGGCTCTGAACAAGGTCTGTGCTGTTAATGGCTCAGCTGGCCTTTGAACATGCTCTAACAGGTTCTCATCTTATCTGGACACGTGCAGGGACTTTTACATCTGTACTGGTTCTGCCTTTGCTTTCAGTTCTGCTTCTTTGAAGCTTGTCACTGCTGTTAATCCTTATTTAGCCTTTCTGTAACCTATATATTATTGTGTGAACTGCAATATATGACTAGATTGATATCAATACTAGTAATTAAGATGGAAACAGAATAAAAGAAGTTTTGATTGCCCTGCTCATGGTTATCAAGCAAAATCTAGATACTGGGGTAATTAAAACTGACAAAATTAATTAGCTTATGAATTTCTTGTGATTCAATAAACCGACATTATGGAAAGACACAAAAATGCCCACTCTATGTTGATGGAATATCCTGCTCACAACAGTTGAAGAATAAAGAGTAGTGGGACCAGTGGCCAAAATGGAGAGTGATTCACCCATCAAGATATCTTCAACTTCATTCTCTGTTTTACCCTGCTGGTCTTAAGCATCTTACATAAAAAATATGTTAAGCACTTTCCTTTACACTTCATGTTTATGGACTTTATAAATTCCAATTTCAAAATGTCTACTGAAGCTATATTTCAAATACAAATAGCCATACCACACAGAAAAGCAAACTCTATTTACTGCCAATTCAATAGCAATCAAGATACCAATGCAAAATAGATGGACCTAAAACTTGTTACATGAGTTTTTTGATCCATTTAATTATGTAGTATAAGTTCTGTCACCAATTAGCTAATATGAAGTCTTGGTCAAGGTATTTCCCTTAATTTAGCTTCAGTTTCTTATCTGTGCAAAAAGGTTGCTAACCTAGATAACTGAAGATTGAATTCAGCCGTATATTGTTTTTTGCCTAAATCCTTGGGGTCTAGCATTACTTCCCTCCTTCAAATATGGGTTAACATTGGAAAGGGGAAAGGACTCAGATCTGCATCATTCGTTACCTGAGATGAAACAAAAATCAAGCACATCCTAGAAATTTGGAGAAATTCTAAAGATATAACATCACATTTATGGTCAATGTCTGCCATGATGCTTTTGAGTCAAAACAATCCAACGAAGAATATCAATGGTGAGAAAAATATATCTATATTGCTAAGTATTAAAATGCTATCATCCAAGATGGAGAGAGAATTAAATACTAAAATGAAAGCATATTATGCAAATGTAGTCAATACAATAAGCATAAAACTTTACTAATAAAACACATGATAAGAAAAATAAAGATCAAAAACAGATTGCCTCCTCACTTGTAGTGGTGGTCTCTACCTTTTCCCAGCAGAAAGAACTAGGGTTCCTTGAAAAACATTGAACTAGGGTTCCAATAAGTGTGTCTAAATATATGAATATTTTATAAATATGTAAAAGTCTTTGACTACAAAAAAAGAACTTGGGAAGAAATAGGAATAATTGCTCTTGCTCCTCCCGGGAATTTCCTTTTTTTTTTTTTTAAGACTATTTAAAGCCTCACTTACATAAGGGAGTAGTGCTGCACGGTTTCTGTCCACAACTTCTTTCATTTTATCCAATGTTCCATAATCATACTGACTGAGGTGAAATCCTAGTGACCAGTATGAAGGCAGGGTTGGCCGTCCAACGAGCTAAAAGAAATATGTGAAAAGAGAGTTAGCAGTATTCTTTCTTTAAGCAAACTTTTTCCAAGCATTAATTTTGATGCATAAGATATGCCTTATTCTCCAATGTGCTGATTCATTAATGTCACTAAATCTATTTTTCAAGCCCCTGTATAAATCATTGAGGTTAGGGACATATTTTGGACAGCTTCATATTCCTGTACCTCTTTTTAACATAAAAATTCTATAAGGCAAATTTCTATTGCATCCATAAGATACAAATTTTAGCACATCAAATTTGTAATAGCAGATTTTTGTGGCTTACACTTGCATATTGTATTTATTTTTCTAAAGTATTTGTGATGTAGGATTTCCTTAGTCATAATCACAGGAACATAAATTTACCTCTAGATATTCTTGAACAACTTGCTCTGGAGTGTTTCCCAAGAACACATAGAAGTCAAGAATGCCCCCAATGGTGCGGTAAGTGATTGCTGGAGCTGGCTGGAGGGCAACCTCTTAAAAGATTTTTTTTAAAAAGGCAAGAAAATAATTAAAATGTATTCTAAAGCAACAGCTACAAATTCTAGACCAGAGGATCACTAAATATCTGAAAATTAATGTGATCCTAATGCCTCACATTTTGTATACAAAGGGACAAATTCTGATGATCAGAATATGCCTTCACTGCACATGGGAATGGAAGAATTTGTTTGGTAACAAAATTCAGTAGCAGATGACTGGAAGGTCTCAGCCTATTATGCCAGGACCCAGGCTATGAGAAAGAAGCATTCAGTCTTACAAAGGTATCCAGAATAAACCAACATAGCACAAGTCATTTGGGGCTGAGGCATTTGTTACTGATATACTTCATCTGCCTAAAAGAAGAGCCTCCCAAAGTAACTCAGTGGTCATAAATCCCCTCCCATGGAGCAACTGAAACATCCTCTGAGCCTATAAGCACCAACATACATTGGCAGAAGATATCACATCCTCTTAAGGGCCCATTTATTTTCCCAAAAAGTCATTTGTTTTCCCATAAGTATCTTTCTCCCCTACCTTTTTATGGATTAAGCCCCACACTCTAACCATCCCTTTCAGTTGCTAATTACTGAGCACTCCTGAATGCAAGCACACTGCATATGTGAATAAAATATCTTTTCTTTGCTGATCTTTATTTCTGTCAGCTTAATTTGGAGGCCCCCATGAATTAAATCTAAGTAAAAGAAACATTTTTCTCTCAGTTTCACAGCAACCAAACATGCTGTCCTTTTCCCCATGCCCCACCAATAACGCAAAGACATGATTCACATTGTGAGATTCAGTGAATCTCACATCAAGCAAGAGGCAAATTAAAAAGTCAAACTAAGGAGCGGGTGAAGGGAGGGCAGAGGAAAGGGGAAAAAATGAGAATCAAGACTTGTCATGTAGAGGTACAAGATCCCAACAATGAATGTAACTGTACTGTATCCCTAAAATGTACCAATAAACTCAATTAAAGCTTAAAAAAAAAAAGTCAAACTAAAAAGTTCCTAAGTTCAAAATCCTTTAAGCTCTAGTCACAAGTTGTCTTTTAGGTTTGGTTTCCATTTAGGGATGAAAGGTCCAAATCCTACTGAAATGTACCCTTTGGTCACAGGAACAACTCACGCAGATTATCTAGGGTCTTGTGGCTCTCCCATTAAGTCTGACTCATCTTGTTTTCATAGTCCTTTTAACTACCCTTAAGCTGTACCATCTGTATTTTTTCAGTATATTCTTAGGGTACTCGGAATCCTAGAATCATGTGAGGTCACCTAGAGAGTGCTCCTCAAACAAACTGTGGTAGAATATCTGATTTTTAAATTGAATTTGTAATTCATTGCAAATTGATACTTTTGTAGAGGAACATGAAAATGAATTACTGGAAAAGGTTTACAGGTGCACTTGCATGCTACAGCAATGATTATTCAATTTCTATACCAACTATAAAGCAAACTCTGAGTATCACTGATCTAAGCAAATGATTCTCAGTTAAAAGAAAGTAGGCCTCAACATCCTGTGCTCCTCCCCCATTTACCCTGGGAGATATTGATACATCTCCTCTTTCCCTCCACTGACACTGGAGCTACCACTGGAGTCTACTGAATGGAAGGCTGAAGAGGGAGAAGAACCAACTGGCACATGGTGTCTCAGAGTAGATGACTGGGAAAGGCTAACTATCTTAATTCTGTAATAGAAAATACTCCAGAGGAGAAACTCTGACTCAGAGAACTGAAAAGCTAAGAAAGAATCCCTTACACATGGCTGCCACGAGTCAACAGAATATGAAGTAGGGATGAAACAACGACTGAACAAATAAGGCCCTAAGTGATGGCTCAATCATTCTTAGAGAGATTTGTTCCTTTTATCATCTTGCTGTAAGAAAGGGACTGAGAAATTGCTCTTGTGGTTATCTCTGGCATGAGTATTTCTTTGATCCTTTACCCATGGCATTGCTGTTCATCAGAAACACCCCAAAGGATAATCCACTAGCATCTTCAAGGCACAGGAAGAATGTCTGCACACCATACAAGTTAGTTCCATTCTGCCAAAAGAAAATTAAAAACCAGAAATGTACAGCCAAGTTCATAAAGATAATTTATAAACAAAAATTTATAACCAAGTAATCTAAACATCATATTGCTGGAAGTCAGTCTTAGTCATGTGAGGAAATTCATAGTCAATGAGGATGCAAATAAATTTTAAAAGATGGGATCGCTCTCTGGTTGATATAAGCCAAGTGCACTAGTATTTTCTTATACAACTAACCTGCTATGACCATTTATATGATAAGAATGTAAAGGTTGTGGTAATTGTTAGAAGGTAGAAAGATGAGAATTGGAGCCATAATTCAAAAGAGTTCTCCTCTTTAAGAGGACTGCCTTAAAAAGAGCTGGGACTAGAGGTTTCATTTGACCCAGCCATCCTTCTGCTGGGTATCTTTCCAAAAGAATTAAAAGAATCATACCACAGTGATATATGCACACCTATGTTTATAGCAGCACAGTTTGCAATAGCTAAAACTTGGAAACAGCCCATTTGCCCATCTGTTGGAAACTGTATAAAGAAGATGTGGGTTTTCTATAAAATGGAATACTACTCAGCCACAAAGAATGAGAAATTAGAGTGATTCATAGGAAAATTGATACATATTGAGGATATACTCCTAAGTGAAATAAATAAGTCACACATGTGTAAATAACGAATAGTTTCTCTGGTGTGAACAAACTATAATAGTACATAAGATCCTAATGATATAATTGAAAGGGAAAGAAAAAAATAGGAGAAAATGAAAAAATGGAAATAAAATTTTTGTAAATGGGGAGGGGAGGAGGGGGTGAAGGGAAGGCAGGGATAAGGGGAAAAATGAGAATCAAGACCTGTCATGTAAAGGTACAAGATCCCAATAATGAATGTAACTGTAATGTATACCTAAAATGTACCAATAAACTCAATGGGAAAAAAAAAGGAAATAAATTCAGTGTGTTAAGTGGAAAAAAAAAAAGAGGCCTGCCTTAATCTGACAGCCCCATCTGTTCTATCAAGTATTAATCTGAACCAGCAACTAGATGAAGCTCTCATTTAGACGAGGCTTCTAGACTCCAGAATGGGAATTCTCCATCCTGATTAGACTCCAGACCAATTAGGTCAGAATCTGGGGATGGAGACAGTGCTAATTTCTAATTTCCCCAGATACTTCCGCTATATAATTACATTTGAGAACTGCTGCTCAAGAACAGCGTTTCTTCGATTTTGATGTGCATATAACTTATGCAGGCTTCTTAGTTAAATGTGGGCTCTAACTCAAAAGATATTGGGAGGACTGAAAGCCCATGTCTCGCACAGAGCAGTGCTCAGAATGCACACTTTGAGTAGCAAGGTTCTAGGGATCTTTAACGCAATGATCATCAGCTGTTCCTGGACAAGGTTCTCTGACTCAGTGCCGTCTCTGCTCTTCTGATGAGTATTTATATAGTAGACAGCATGGGCTTTAGGTGAGACAGAATAGGGATTAGATCTTTTCTTTGTTATATACAAACTGTTCTAATTTGAGCTATTAAATTGGCCTCTATGAGTCTTAGCTTTGTCTGTTAAATGAGGAAATTATTCTTACTTTTATGGCACCCTTTCTTAAATAGAAAAAATACATGAACAGAATTGCTTAATAAATTATTTCTGTGATCTTGTTTTTGTCATTAGTTGTTTATTCTGAACTACAAATATTATAAGAAATAAGAAAACAACATAGTCTCAAGTTTTGGCATTCAAAATAACAAACAAAAATAAAAATAAAATAGCAACAACAACAAAACTCTGTTCTTTCAGTATATCAATCATTCATTACACAAAAATGACTGATACATTTCTTTTGTTGGGTCTTTCTTGCTGATAAATCTGGTAACTCAGTAATTTTTAAAAGTCAATGTAAAAATAAGATCATAATCACTATTGTTCAATTATAATTATTAGTAACATTTTCTCCACAACTGGTTAGTTCAAAGAGAAAAAGTAATTTAAAGAAGTTGGCATTTATTCAGGATTTTCTATGTGACAGACATTCTTCTAGACACTTCACTTGTATTAATACAATAAATCCTAATCATAACCCCATGAGACAAGTATATTACATCCATTTTATATATGAGAAACTGAAAACACATAGAAGAAAGTAACTGACTCAGAGCCACATAACTGTAAATAGCAGAGATAGACTTCAAATTCAAGCATTCTGACCCTACTCTTACTCTTAACCACTAAATCATACCACTAGTAGTGACCTTCAAGAATGGGTCTATGACACTTAGTGGAAAGGGGCCATACCAAAGCTTACCCCATTGGGAATTGTGTCCCTGGCAAATATGGGCCAAGTCTTCCAATTCATGTCATGCCTGTATTGTCGGTGCACATGCTCCCCCAAACCGTACACATTAGCACTTGGCAGGCGAATGGAGAGCTGCAGGAACTGATCTGCAAACAGGAGGGGCCCGATGCTTGAGTCAAACCTGGACACAGGTGAAAAATAAAGGATTGAGTGAGCAAGAGAGGTGGAGAGAGCATAAATGCTTAGAAAAGTATCCTTTAATTCTCAATGACTTAATCAATCCCTCTTGCTCTCCTGTAACATTTTCCAATGGATACCAAGAGATCAGGACTCCTCTATCGCAGGTATCATGTGGGGCAGTTCTTGTTTCTGTCCCTCAGACACTTACCCACATGACCATAGTACTATACTTATATGATCATTGATTTCCAATAAATACTTACTGGTGGACAAGGGGTACCATAGATAGAGGAAAGAAGGAAGAACTGGAAGGAAAACAGTGATCGTGCCAACAGAGGGGAGAAAAAGGAAAGTAGGCAAAAAACTGTATACATTTGGCAATAGAGAGGCTGGGCAGCAGTAGTGCCTTACAGCCTTCAGGACAGTTGCTGAAAAGCTCCCTTCCTCTAGCTTCCAGACTTCCCTTCATCACGACCTTCCTACTCTCATACACAGACAGACTTCAAACACTTACAGGACACGACTGTTGCTTCTTCTAGTCACTTTGATGCTAAATGGCTGTTTGGAGACCTCAACTTGATAGTTCAAGGAAGAGGCAGCATTCCCATTGAAGGGCTGTACATGTTCATGCGGTACTTCATACCTGTTTTTGGTTTGGTCAGTCAACTGGACAGAGACAAATAGAAAGAAAGTCAAAATGAAAACTTTTCTGTTTAAAAACACCAGTATTTCCTGATACCTGGGCAGACAGTACTAGAAATCAGACACGGGTTAACTGACGTTACATCTAAGGAAATGTACTATGTTACCTACTTCAAATATTTTTTAGTTGGGTATACATTAGCCCAACTGGGAGAGATATATACTACAATTCTGCAAAGATGGATTATCCCTAGAAAATTCAAAGCTCAGATAATTACATTTTTCTCCTGTCAACTACATTTCACAGGGTATTTAAGCCAAAGCCTCACCAGTTAATTCATATATATATCTACATATATATATATATATATAAAAAATATATATTATATATATAAATTCATCATAGAAAGAAGACTATAAAAGATTTCAATATAAAATTGCTAAATAATAATGACAACAGAGAAAAATACTTCCATTAGCAAAATGTACTCGGAAGCAACTGTATCAGGTAGAGGACATGAGCTTCTGAAAAAGATTTTTTAAAAGTAAACAAGTTACAAACCTTAAAGTGAAAGCGGTTAGATGTCTGGTACTCTGCTGTGAGGAGGACATTCTCAATATCATTTCCAAACAAGGGTGAAGAAGGCAGACCTTTCAACTGGGCTGTGAATCCTAACATGAAGGGGAGAGAAAGTTTCATAACTGGATCTGTAAATTCCTACATAAAAATTAAGCTTTAGGTCAAAAGGGATTAATGCAAACACTTTATCCTCATCATACTGTCTTAAGTCAGATCCTAAAGCTAGGTACTGTTATTACCTTATCCAAAAAATCTATGCCTCTCTTTTTATTTTTTAATTGAGTTTATTGGTACATTTTAGGTATACAGTACAGTTGCATTCATTATTGGGATCTTGTACCTTTACATGACAGGTCTTGGTTCTCATTTTTTCCCCTTGTCCCTGCCCTCCCTTCACCCCCTCTTCCCCTCCCCCTTTAAAAACACTTTATTTCCATTTTTTCATTTTCTCATTTTCTCCTATTTTTTTCTTTTTATGCCTTTCTTTTTAATAAATCTGATCAAAAAACTCCCCCCAGACTTGACTCATTCCACCAGCCCATTGATTATTCTATGTTAATCAGATACCCTTCACACCCTCAGCCTCCATTTGAATTTTTTTTTTTTCAAGTCAGGATTTCACTGTGTGCTCAGGCTAGACTTGAACTCACTCTGTAGCTAGCCCAGGCTGGCCTCAAACTCACAATGATTGATCCTGCTGCCTCAGCTTCCCCTGTACTGAGATTACAAGCATGAGCCTCCACATCTGGCTGCATTATTCTTTCTCAGTTATTTTCATATTATATTACAGGTGATCATACACACTGATGCCATCTTTCTAAATGGTAAACCAAGTGTCGAAGTTTTATAGAAAAGTCCATTGGGCTAAGAACACCCAGAATGGGAAAATCTTCCTTTACAATAAGAGTCTCCCCAGATTAGTCACCTCCTCCCACCACTAAAATGTTCATTACGATGTTCTTCCTTTTAGGATAGGAAGAAGAAGGGATGATCAGTCCATGAACACTGATGTTGACCAAGTAATTCTGTAACAAATTTATAAAATCAGAACTGTTTCAATTTCATAAAAATTATATCAGGGTAGAATGAAAAGTAATGTCAGAAGTTAATGAGTTCAAATCCTCCATTTTAAAAGCGGTAAACTTGAGATTCAAAATGGTCCTGACCATCATGTGAGGTCACAAAGATGATACAGGGGAAGGCAGAGCTCTGACATGATACTCAAATCCCTAGGCAGAGAGTGCATGTTCCTTCATGTCCAAATAGGCTCTGATCCTTGAGAAGAGCAGTGTCCACCTGCCATCACACACAGTGGAGTGGTGCTGCAAAGCAGTCCCTTACATGTTGCCACAGGTCTCTCTGGGGGACACAGGGTCAACCTCCAGAGGGTCTGAAGCTCCTGCCTCCTGGCAGAGTCTGATTTACCTGCATTTGTGTTTACAGTATTGCCCTCCATTTGGTAGCCATGATTCTTGGAATAGTAGCACAAAGGAATATTTATGTCTCCCTGAGGTTTCCAGCAGCAGCCACGCTGGTCACATGTGGCCTGAAACAAGACATTAGACAGTGCAATTCCATTTCATTGTAGAACATTATCTCTTATAAAGTATGAACCATCTAACTTGAGATTGTGGTATTAATAACTTCATGTTACAAATAAAGGAACTGATCTTTAGGGAATTGTGCTATATGCCAAACAGTGGCAGAACTTCTAGTCACAACCAATTTTCTGGCCAGTGTCCTTCCTATATAGGATGCATGATGTGCTCCGTATCTTTCACCATATAAAAAGCTGACAACTATATTTAAATATTCAAAATTCTAACAGTTATATCAGCAGTAATGAAAAAGCATAGAGTTTCATTTATATTAACTTTGATTCTTAAAAATGAAACAAGACTTTGCAATCAACTTTCTTTAGAAACTTTCAAATCAAACTGATTTTTAAAGGAAAAAATAGAAACAAAGACTTTGTAAATAGGGAAGGGTGGAAGGGGTGAAGGGAGGGCAGGGATATATATGGGAAAAAATGAGAACCAAGACCTGTCATGTAAAGGTGCAAGATCCCAATGATGAATGTAACTGTACTATATGCCTAAAAAGTACCAATAAACTCAATGAAAAAAACTGATTTTTTACTTTTAAATATATATATGCATATTACACACACACACACATATATATATATGTATATTACATCTTTGTACATATGTATGACATATATGGTCTCTCAACTCCTCACAAGGCAGAGAGCAATCTTTCCTCAGAACTCAAATAGATCCTAGTTCTCCCTTTAGAAAAGTGCCTGCCACGCAAGGTGCAGTGGTGTGTACCTGTCATTTTATTTATTCAGGAAGCTGAAGCAGAAAGGTGGATTGGGTCTAGGAGGTCAAAGTCAACCTGAGCAACAAAGTGAGTCCCTTTCTCAGTTGCTCAGTTGATGGAAGGAAAGAAGGAAGGAAGGAAGGAGAAAAGAAACAAGAGAAAGAAGGAAAAATGAAGGAAGGAAAAAGGAGGGAGGGGAAAAGAAAGAAAGGAGAAAGGGAGGAAGGAAAATGAAAGAAAAAAGAGAAAGAAGGAAAAAAAGAGGAGGGAGGAAGGAAGAAAAAAGAAAGGGAAAAGGAAGGAAGGAGGAAGGGAAGGAAAAAATGACTGCCTTATACCACAATTAATGACATTTCCAGGAGGATGTGAGAATTTCTTGAAAATAGTAACAAAAAATCTTGTCTTAGATGAACACAGAAGCCAAAGTAGCAAGGAAAGTAAATGATCTCTTTTAGTCAACTTCAAAACACCAGCTCCTGCTTTAGAGTCCAGGGATGCTGAGAAACAGGAAGAGAAGAAAAAAGAAAAAGATTCACATGACAAGAGAGTAAAAAGTGAAAAAGTGTGTGAAACCTAGGAAAACAGCTTCAGAGGAAAGCAATAAAATGGCATGAATAAGATGAAGGCACAAAAGAAGGATTACACCTAAGACATAAAGTGTCCCTTAAAGTTTGATGTCAGAGTTAAAATTTAAGAAATATCATCAAAGCGGTATAAAATGTGCAACTGCCAGTACAGGGCTGAAGGGAAAGCCAAGATGGGGAAGCCCTCAATCCAAAACCAAGGAAAGAACACCTGTTTATGAGAGTAAGGAGTAACGCATTTAAAAGAAGAACACGTGGGGAAATATTACACTGTAGGAGGAAAATGTCATATCAATTATCATCTGGTTTAAATACTTAAGAAACAAGGATAGTCAATTACATTTATAGAAATAAATCCAGGTAAAAATTTCTTACAGGTGACACATCCAAAACTGAAGCTTACAAAAACACTGAAAGTGAAAGGGAAAAGCAAATATGAGTAAGATGCAAATGAAAGTTTGCATTCACATCATACAGATAGATTTTTCATAAAAATTCACTCTTAAAGAGCCAGAGTTAGGACAAGACATCCAACAGATGTCACACCTCCAACTTGATATGTACCTAACCATGAAGACTCACAAGGTAAAAATTAAGGAAATAGTACATGATGGAACATTGTTAAGGAGGTCCTCCTACTAACTGATAGAGTACACAAAAAATGAAGTACACAACAATTGAATCATCTAAATTTATCAGCTATTTGTGATACAACAATCTTAGAAAGATAGAAATAAACAACTTCCTTAGTTTGATAGCAGGTATCTATCAAAAGCTTACTACAATCATTTACTAAATGGTGACATGTTAGAAGCATTTCCCTTAAAATCAACAAAAAAGATGAATTGACCCATGCCTGTGACAGCTTATCACTTTAAAATATAACGAAGGTCCTAACAATGCAATAGGACAAGAAAATTTATAAGACTGAAAAGGATGAAACCAAATCACCATTATTTCTAGATATAACATCATCTACATAGAAATATAAGAAAATTTATTAAAAATATAATAAATAAGTCAACAGTTACTATTATTGAGTCTTGTTTGTACTTTTTCCTTTTCACTGTTAGGCATTTAATATCACTAGAATATAATATAGAAATGCATTCATAAGCTTGACTTCACTAAAATGCAAAACTACTGTTCATCAAGATAGCATCAAGCAGGTGGCCAAAACCTCATGACAGCAGACGTTTTCAAATTTAAGATAAAAATAAGAATTAGAATTTTTAAAAATACACAAAACAAGTATACTGGTCAAAAAGATAAACACCTCAATATAAAACTGATAGAAACACAGAAAATTAATTCACAGAAAAGAAATGACTGAAAAGTGTCCATCCTCATGATTATTCAGAAAAACTAGCACTAAAACTACAATGGGATTGAATTTTATATAAAATGGCAAAGTTCAACTGCTTAACAGTTTACCCCAACCATCACTCAGGCAGAGCATTTGTTTACATATTATCTCAAGCATTGCTCGGGCAGGTGTCATTTCAACCAGTAAATTCTTGTATTGAATTAATTTATTAAAATTGTCATTTTATCTATTTCCTATTATATTACCATATAAAAATAATTTTAAAGTATGCAATTTTTGGTCATACTTTATTTAAATAATTGGACAGATGTTATGGCTTGTGTTTAGAGGTCCCCCCAAAACCTCAAGCAGTCACAGGTGGGGCTTTATCTGGAATTGATTCATGGTGCAATGCTAGGCTCAAGGGCTTTAGGAATAAGAGTGTGAGTATCTGCCACCCTGCCCTATGTCGCCTGCATAAGATGAAAGGGGCAGAAAGACTCTGTTGAGGGCCCGCTCTTGCTCCCTTGTTGCTTTGCTACCTTCTGGCCACTATGTACTGTTTCTCCTCTGTGATGCCACCCTGCCATGTGCCACTCTGCCTTGGAGCCAGCTGATTATGGACTGAAGCCTCTATGAACTGTGAGCCAAATAAACCTTTCCCACTTTAACTTTATGTATCAGGCATTTTGTCTCAGCAATGAGAAAAGTATCTATCATATCTGGTAAGTGATTAAAAAGATTGTCAGTTCTACATTTCTCAGACAAAGAAGTAAAAGCAGCAAGTAAATATATGAAAAAATGTTCCACATCACTGGTCATTCAAGAGATGCAGATGAAAACAACACTGAGATTCCACCTCACCCCAAAGAATGGCTGCTATCAAGAAATCACACAGTAACAAATGTTGGTGGGGTTGTGGGGAAAAAGGAACCCTTCTCCATTGTTGGTGGGAGTGCAGACTGGTGCAACCATTGTGGAAATCAATATGGAGATACCTCAAAGAACTAGGATTAGAGGTTCCATTTGACTCAGCTATTCCTCTGCTGGGTATCTTTCCAAAAGAACTAAAAGAATCATATCACAGTGATATATGCTCACCTATGTTTATAGCAGCACAGTTTGTAATGGCTAAAACTTGGAAACTGCCCATCTGCCTATCAGTTGGAAACTGGATAAAGAAGATGTGTTTTATCTATAAAATGGAATACTACTCAGCCATAAAGAATGAGAAATTAGATTCATTCATAGGAAAATGGATGCATATTGAGGACATACTCTTAAGTGAAATAAGTAAGTCACACGTATAAATACCAAATAGTTTCTCTGGTATGAAAAACTATAATTGTACAGAAGATCCTAATGGGATAATTGACCATGTGAAATGGGAAGAAAAGGACTAAAGGTGTAGGGGAAGTAGGAAGGGTAGGGGAAAGGAAATAAGGGAAAAGAAAAAAATATGCAAAAATGAAAAAATGGAAATAAAGTTTTTGTAAATAGGGAAGGGAGGAGGGGGTGAAGGGAGAGCAAGGGTATGGGGAAAAAATGAGAACCAAAACCTGCCATGTAAAGGTACAAGATCACAATGATGAATGTAACTGTACTGTATACCTAAAATGAACCAATAAACTCGATGAGAAAAAAAAAGATTTTCAGTTCTAAATATTACTAAAGATTGAGAAAATGATAGATGGTAAATGAGTACAGTCAGTTTGGAGATCAATTTGATAATATCTAGGAGGTTTAAAGTATATACTTTAATTCACACATCCATAAACTAAAATATTGACAGGAACAGTCATAATAGCACTGCTGTAAGTGGAAGCTATTGAAGAAAAATTAAATTCCTTTTAGCCAGAGGAAGGCTAAATGACTTGCCACTTTATTGTGAGCATAAATGACCTACAAAGACATAGCAACATAGATAAATCTCACAATGTTAAGTGAAAAAACTGCAAAAACTGTATTTTCATATAGGTTGTACATATCTATTATTATAAGTATATATGTAACTGGTAAAGGTACAAAAGAACACATGATAAATACTAACTTCATAACCATGGTTGCTTCTAGAGAGGAAAGAGGAAAAGGTGATTGCAGGAATGTACAGAAGAATTACACTGAACTGACACTTATTTTCTCATGCTGGAAATTGGTTATATATTCTTAGATATCTAAAATATTTTTAATAATTATTTCAAGGAAGTTAAGCCCTATTTGGGAAAAAAAATCAAAGCCAAGGTGAAGATAACAAAAAGTTGCTTATTATCTCAATCACTCCCACTTGCTTTTTTCTTTTTGGACATAAAGTCTCACTATGTAGCCCAGACT